CTATTCATGTGCCATTATGTACAATTGTGATAGCTGTGATTGGTTCTGCCACAACTATCACATGGTACAGGTGCACTGTGTTTGGCCCTGTCTGTACCATGTGATCACTGTTACCATTCACAGAGATCACAATAATACATGATGCATGACTATGAATCAAAGCCATTCATGCCGTACATTTGACATGTGCTTGCTGTGATTGGTCACAGTGATCACATGGTACTGGGGCTGACCGTGAGCTGTCATCCACTGGTGTCTGGTGGATGTGCACACCTGGAGGATATCATATGACATCTACACAGGATTAGAAAGTTTCTGCTTGACCATCATTTGATTATAGGCCAGGTGGGAGGTAGGTAGAGACAGCTAGGGGTTTATTTACTAAAGCTGGTTCACTCAGAATCCTGTTCACGGTAGCCAATCTGCTTCTAACCTCAGCTTATTTAATTAAGCTTTAGCAATACAACCTGAAAGCTGATTGGTTTCTATACAGAAGTGCATGAGATTGTGAGTAAACCAGGTTTAGTAAATAAACTTGTAGAGACAGGTAGTTAAGTACAAATGACAGGGTTCATGCATTTTACTCATGAGCAATCCTCTTCTTTTAGGGCTCCTTCACAGCACTGCACATGTAATAACAGACTGGATTTGTGCATTGACCTGTGTTGCCATTCATTCTTAAAGCGGACCTTCACTCTAAAATCAAAGTTTAGGGCATTGTTATCCTCCTCCCTCCCCTTTTAACAAAAACTGAACATTCTTCAACCTGTTGCATACCACACAGCACATATATGTGACAACAGGAAAAGTGGGCTTTAATGCTCAGCCACTGCACATGGTTCCATGGTGCAGGATGAGGATGTGTGCTGAGAGCATGCTCCCTGTGTATTCCCAGCACACTTAGGCTAAGTTCACACTAGCTTTGTTAGCAGGCGTTTGGGAAGCGTTTTTAACGCTTCTCAAACACCAATGAAAATTCTGCACATGACAGCACACAGCTGTTCACTGAAGCATTAGCTTCGCAACAAAATTGAAGCCTCATGTCCAGTCAGGAGGAATTGAAGCCTCCCATTCAAGTCTATGGTGATGCTCCTCAAACGCCTGGCAGGTGTTTGTGGAGCGTTAATACCATTAAACTTCATTATAGGTGTTTGTGGTGTGGTTTTAACGCTTGGCAAATGCCTCCAAAACGCGCATAGGGCGCGTTTGGCAAACGTCAGAAATTAGGAAGCGTTAAAAATGCTTCCCTAACGCCTGTCAAACGCTATAGGGGCGTTTGGCAAACGTCAGAAATTAGTCAGGTGTGAATGAGCCCTTAAAGAGAAGCTGGCAACAGATTTCTGTCACAGCCAGTGGGACACGTCTCCCCATCATGTAACCCCTACGAGAATAATCATGGTATGATAGAAAAGCCATACAGCCTCCTAGGATTAAAAGCCAGCCTGAAGAGCTGCTGGGAGGGGGCATGAAGGATTTTTGTAAATTTTTTTTCTTTTTCTTGCTACATCACACATTTTCTTGAGACTGCATTAACAAGTTGAAAGGGTTCTCCCCTTCTACTAAAAATACGTTTTCATTTATGTCTGATTCACCAGTCCACAGCATATTGTTTCTGAAGGCCTATATGCTCAATAAGAAGTTGTAGCCTTCCTCTTTGGCAGTAAGGACTGTCTTGGCACACTTCACATGCAGGTTAAATTGGTGCAATCTTTTTGATTGTAGATGCATGCACTTTGACATATACTGTTGTAAGACATGTATAGAGATGTCCCTGCTCCCAGCTTGCATTAATAAAACCCTTGCCCCTGGAATTCTGGATACTGACCAAGGGAGCCCAACCATGCTCCACAAACTCAGCAGGAAGTTTCACACTGGATAAAGCACAGTGCAGCCCTGCTTAGGGCCACCTCTCCAAAGTTTCCCCAATACGAGTTTAATCAAAACAAATCTCTATGATCAAGCTCGTGTTAGAATCATTTGGGAGGGGTGGTTCTAGGCAGGGTTGCAATCTGCTGTGTCAGGCTTTTATAATTGGATCTGATATAACTGACCAGTCCAGGACAAATTTGCAGTTGGTTTGATCTATGCTACTTTTTATATTAGATTCCTTATAATGGTGTGTGTGATAGTGATATGATTTGGTTTTAAATAATTTTTAGGTCTTTTTACGTCCTTTGTCATAATCTTAGGCATCCACAACTTTAATTCTGAGGACCTTGGAGAGCTGTATTGATCTTGATGTGATGACACCAATAACACATCAATAGAGAACACAAAAGCCTAGATATCTGAGGTTCCATCTGCATATTTCCTAAGGAGGTTCTGTTCATTGAAACCTAATTTGGAGCACTGCATTCTAATTTAATGGTTTTAAATGTTGCTAAATATATAGATGTGTTTATTTTTCTCCTTGTGACAAATGTGCATTTTTATTCATTTACATTGTATGAGAATGATTAGTGCCAGTTTTTTGTGCCATCCTGCGGGGATTGTTGGCTTTCTTTACAACTTACCTTTTCTGGTGTCACCCCGTATAGGTTGCATATAGATCCTCGTCGGCATGCAACCTATACGGGGTGACACCGGACCCGCTCCAAGAAAAGGTAAGTTGTAAAGAAAGCTGACGATCCCCGCAGGATGCATCGGATCTGCGGATTGAGTACAATGGATCGGAGTCTGATCCATTATGCTCAATCCGCAGATCCGATCCATTCTGCGGGGATCATCAGAGGAGGTGTCACCAAGTGTTACCGCACTGGGTGACACCAACCCTAGGGACGCCTCTGGGTAGTTACATATAACCCAGGCCTAATGATTTAAAAAAGCCCATGTCTTGTACTGAAGGAAACAGATTTTACTGGTAAATCCAAAATCCATTTTTTTCCATTGTATTTACTGTATGTACTGAATTTTTATAGAATTTTGGAACCATACATCTTCAAATATGGAAAAAAAAACTCTGGACACCTTCCATGCTTTAGGTCAATATGTACTGAGAGAAATACGTTGTCTAGCATTTGACCTGCTATTGAATATTTTAATTGCCTTTCTGCCATGCTGATCAACATATGCAGTGATTATTGACCAGGTTCCATGTCAGTGACTTAACATACTGAAGTCAGAAATAGCAATGAGAATGGCAAAATCAGAAGGAGCTTAGTTATAGCTGCCTACATATTTTTCTCAGTACAGTTCAAAGTGAATTAAATATGTAATTTGCAGTTTGTTTACATATGTGTATTCTTAACATTTGAGTACTTTTTTTATATTTTATTTTCTAGATAATTCCTCACAGCTCATTAGAAGGGGGGTGAGGTGCCACTTCGTTTGTGCAAGGAGTAACCAGATTAAAGGGCCAGGCCTGAAGACCCTTCACAAGGCTTTTTCATTATCACTGGGATATAAAAATGGGTATGAGAATCAAACTCAACAGCAGAGACCACCCCAGCAACCTGCTACGTGAGCTGAACCAATCTAGGTTGTCTGGAGCATTTTGTGATGTTAATATTGTTGTGGGAAATAGGTCTTTTCCAGCTCATAAAGCTGTACTTGGCTCTGCGGCTGCCTATTTTCAAAAATTGTTCTTAAACACTGATTTGGATATTGCTCGAACTTATGTGGTGGATTTCATAACCCCAACTAATTTCGAGAAAGTCCTGAGCTTTATCTACACTTCAGAGCTTTTCACTGACCTTATAAATGTGGGAGTGATTTATGAAGTTGCTGAGAAACTTGGCATGGCAGACTTGATAAAAGCATGCCATGCGACCTTTCCTGATCTAGAGGGATCTTCAGGACACAAAAACCAGTGCTCTGTGTCCTCCAGTGAAGGCCGTTTGGGAACTGTAAGTGCTGCTTTAACAGAACATAATCAAATTGAATCCAAGGGAAATGGAGTGGACAACCATCTCCCTGCTACAGAAAAACAGTTTACTGCACAGACAGATGTATCTGGTTCTTTGAAAGGAGAAGAACATGAAACTAATATAAATCAAACAGCACACTTTCCATTGCCAGCAAAAACAGAGGAGCAAAGTTCTTCAGCAAAGTACCAGTCCTCACACTGTGCAATGAACCCTGGATTTGGTCCAACAAGCACCTGCCCTCCCTATAAAACTCAGCACAATGGTGACTATAATAAAACAGGTTATTTTCCAGGGGATTCCTCTGTTAGTGGAAATTCCAAGGAATCTGCTGGAGGTTTTGAAGCTATGGGTGATCTTCAGTTGGACGATCTGGAAGAAGAAACGTTGCAGTTTGACGAAGGAGGAGATGAAGACTCTGGTCCTTCTGGGGAAATTATTGAACTGAGTGATGGTAGCGAAGATGAGCTGCTATTATTTGGTCATGGAGAAAATCAGAGTGGAAAAGCTATGCCTTGTCAAGTGTGCAAGAAAGTTCTTGAACCTAATTTACAGCGTATTCGCCAGCATGCTCGAGAACATGTAGATCTAGTTAAAGGTAGCTGCAAAGTTTGTCAGGCCCGATTCCATGACCGTGGTGCTATGATCACTCATGTCCTATCACATATTGGCATCTTTCTCTTTTCCTGTGATATGTGTGAAGACAAGTTTTTCAGCCAGTGGCAGCTCACCCTCCACAGAGGACAACAAGGTGTTACCTCCGAACATAACATAATTGTTCAACCAGGTCAGCCCCTTCCTGGCGAAGTCAACACATTTGTGGGAGCACTAGGTACTGAACTTCAATGTGGAGCCTGTCATAGGAACATGTTACGGGATTTCCATTCTGTGCGGTCCCATGCTTTGGAGCACCTCAACAACAAAAACCTGTCTTGTGGAATATGTGATCAGAGACACTTAACACTTTGTGGTCTCATGTGGCATGTTTTATCACACATGTCCATATCGGTTTTCTCTTGTTCTCTCTGTGCTAGCAGCTTCCTTGACCGCCATTTACTTGAAAAGCATATGGCTGTCCATCAGAGCACGGAAGAAGCATTATTCCGCTGCCACCTTTGTTCCCAAGGTTTCAAGTTAGAAACAACTTACCGACAGCACCTCAACCAGCATCGATGTGGCAGTATTCCTATAGACCGTCCTGGATTTTCTGAATTCTCCCAACTCCAGATTCCATTGTTTAAGAGAAAAGCCCCCGAGGATTTTACAGTAGATGACCATTCAGTTGTAGGACAGACAGGCCACAGCAAATACACTTGTAAGGTTTGTGGAAAATGCTTCTCCCATACTAGTGAGTTTAACTATCACAGGCGCATACATACTGGAGAAAAGCCTTATCAGTGCAAAGTGTGTCTTAAGTTCTTCCGAGGCCGTTCAACCATCAAGTGCCACTTGAAGACACATGCAGGCGCCCTTATGTACAGGTGCATCGTATGTGGGCACTATAGCTCCACCTTAAACCTCATGGGTGAACACATAGCAGTGCACAGAGGAAACCTGCCTTCAGACTTCACCATTGACCAAACATTCATGTACACTATCCACTCCAAAGAAACAGACAAGAATGCTGATAGCTGATGGGTTAAAGGGAATGTAAGGCAGAGGACTGTGAACTTTTTAATTTTTTTTCTGTTTATTCTGTCCCACTTTAATGTAGCAGTTGAACACCGCAAGGTATTTCATTGTTTAAAATCTTGCTACTAATTTTTAGTTTCTTTTACATGTGTGCTTTTTATGTTCACTTTAATGTGAAGTTTCTTGGGTCTCTGTAAACTCAAATCTTTGGCAGGAAGTCTCAACAGGTTCACATTTTGCGCTAACTTGTGTTGCAACCTATGTTTACTATAAGTTCAAATTTTGGGTTGAGTACATCATTGTTACTTGTTTTGCCTCAGGTAGCTAGATTACAGTTTTACACAAATCAGAAAAAATAACATATTGCGATTAACCATCTAATTAAACTAGAGTATGTCTTTTTTCCCACTCTATAGAATAGGAAGGACTTTTCATGCCACTTAACTATTTTTAAAACTAAACATTTTAGTTTTAGGTGGCATATGAAATGTCAGTTTTGTTTTAAAGATGTAATGCAGCACATGCAGAGCTATTGTGGAAGCCCTTGTAATATAGAATTGGGATAAGATCGTTTAAGACAGTGGATGATAGTACAGTGGACTTTAAAGATGCCAAACCCTTCAAACACCATTTTAATAATGTTTTTCTGCTCTCCACACAGAAACAAATGCATTCCATTACTTTAAGTTCTTGTGTGAATGGTAATTCCACCCAGTACTACATTTCTCACATTGATGCAAGTCTTTTTCTCATGCGCACTAGAACTTCCAAGGCTCCAACTCTCATTTGGGTGTAGTGCTGCTTTAAATAAACCTGTATGGGAATGAATATGAAAGCTCCAATTGCTACCATGGCTCTAGAAATTCTAGTTGTCTGACAGTTATTATTCTCTACTTTCACACCATCACAAGTCACACCAGTGCTCTCCCTAGACCTTTTTTGCTATGTGCACTACTCAGTTGCTTTTGGCAGAACCACCCACCCCCAGCTTCTGCAAAACCAAATCTCTGCTACTTGTCCCTGAGCTCACCTGACTTCTCTTTAAGTCCAGGACAGCTATAGGGTGTAGAGAGGTTGGAGAGCGGCCAGAGATCATTGAACACCTGTTCACCATTCTTCATTGCATTTTGTAAACCTGGAAGAAGCACTTAGTCAAGACTCGGCAGATTTGGTATTCTGTTTTCCCTGTTCAGTCACACTATTTACGTGATGCCATTTTAGAAAATGTATTCAATGTTTGGAAGAAAGAAAGGTTTGTATCTAAAGTGTCTGAAGGTTTTGGTAAATAAAAAGAGTCCAGCACACTCCATACAGCAACGTGACCATAGTCATTGGAGTATTGTGCCACCAAAGCATTAGTCCAGTCCAAGATGTCAGCAGCACACCATGTTCTGATAAACAGGCAGGGCAATTTTATGTCACCAACAAAAAGTGACACTTTGAGGCCATTAAGGGCCTCTTTGCAGTGACATCACTGCTGCCTGAGGAAGAGGCCCATTATCTGAACACGGTGTATCGTGTTGGTGTTATCTTCTTCATTTTAGTACATTAAGATCACCTGGCTGATGTCTAAGCACAACGCAAGTCCAAAATGCAAGTTTAAATGTAATTTCAATTAAAAAAAAAACAAAACATGGTAGTCATGTATTTGGACCTCTGACATACTGGGGGGGCATTTACTAAAACTGGTGCAGCTGTGCATAGTAACCAATCAGCTTCTAAATTTTATTGTCAAAGCCTAATTCAAGAAGCTGAGGTTAGAAGCTGATTGGTTATATGCACAGCTGCACCAAATTCTGTTTGCACCAGTTTTACTAAATCTCCCCCACTGTGTATTAAAAGGGTAAATAAAATCCTCTGGCGTGGATTTACTAAAGGCAAATAGACTATGCAGTTACTCCAGAGCTTAGCCAATTAGGGGACTGTCTGCTGACCTCCATCATCCAATCATGCGTAAGCAAAATGCTGTTTTGTTTTCTTGCATCTGATGGGTATTTTTTGCGAAGTAAAATTTTGTCTCATTTACTAATCTCTGAAGCAGCTGCATTTGATGAGTGCAACAGCACTTGCACTCATCAAATTTGCCTTTAGGAAATCCCCCCCATTGTGTGTGAAATGGCTGATTACCTAGAATGGTTTACCCTACACTGCATAGTAGTCATGCTCCATCAACTTGCATATCATCATGAAAGTGGATATTGTTTTTCAAATAGTGTTTAAGATGAATAAAAATGGTGGTTTGCAGTCCTCCATTAGGTCTTTTTTGCTGCATAGGACCCAGGATACCAGTTAGCAAATTATTTGCCAGGGCTATGCTCTTTGAAATTCTCCTTCTGCTCCCATAGGAAAAGCCGGAGGTACCAGACTCTTACTGAGCACTCCATGGGGTGTATAGGGAGAATGCACTTGAAATAAACAAATTTTGAACCTTTTTAAAGCCCTTACTTTCACAGTTGGATTAGATGTGTGAGAATATCTCTTCAAAGAGTGAAATGTACAAAATAGGTAGCACAACAGTATAAAAATAAAGGGCTTTTTTTTTTTTTTTTTTTTTTTTTAAGTCGATAGGTCATTAGCTTTTACATGCCTTCTTGAACTTTTTGCAAAGTAGAATTTTGCATTTGTTCTCTTTTGTGCATTACGTTATTGTCAGGCTGCAGGGTGATGCAAGGCATTTCTGTACATAAGTTCAGTTTAAGTGCTTACCCTCCTGGTCCCTAGTGACCTCCTGTCCTGGGCACCCCACTCTTATATTCTCTTTTTTAAACTATTTGTGGAATGGTCACATGACATGCAAGGTTGTTCTTCCTTTGGGAATCTTTTCCTGGTGGTTGTCAATGCCACTGTCAGAATCATTATATATGAATGCATGGCACTGTGAGGGAGGTCTTCTTTGGGAGTGCCATGGTGCTCTGCTTTCACAGATTGTCCTTTGTTTACCAGGTTGAATTTTGCAGGGTGAGAGTGGTAACTAATTCGGACGGAGATGCTGTTTTAAACATTTTAGCCCGGAATTGAGCTTTAAAGGTAACCGTGCTGAAATGCTGACACCCTATGGTGCCTGCAAGTACCTATTTTTTAAAAAAAAAAAAAAAAAAAAGGTTTTGTGATTTTGTAAAGAATTTTAAATTGTAAGAAAATTGGGAAGTAAAACAGGGCACTGAAAATACTTTGCACTTTTAATTGATCTTTGTATTTGTACTTGAATCCTGGCCTTTCAAGATCCATCATATTGTTATTATTAATGCCTAAATATTTTGCAGTGTTGATTACTGAGTTAGGCTTCGTTCACAATAGTGCGATTTCAGATGCAATTTGAGTTGCACAGAATCGCATGACAATGGAAATAACTTTGTTTTAAATGATATCTGTTCACATCAATGCAATTCTGGAAAAGGTTCCTGTACTACTTTGGTACCGTTCCCCCACGATTCTGGTCCCATGAAATATGCAAACCACTTAGCAGTAGCATCCAAGTTGCACTACATTATTGCACTGACAGTCAGATCAAAATCAGATTGCAGCAGCTTGAACCTTACCTAAAGATTAGCACAAATGCAGAAAGTAAACAATTCTTGGTTGTGGTCTAAACACCAGTGCTAGTGGTTCACATGTGATACATTGCTGAAAGTGAATTACCTTGTAAAAGTTGCTAGGTTACATTTAAGTACCAAGAACTGTTTTCATTCATTTGACTACATAATATAGTTTACTATTATTACAGGTACTTAAGCGCCATCAATTTACGCAGCACTTTACATATACAGTACATTTGTACATTCACATCAGTCCCTGCCCTCAAGAAGCTTGCACTCTAAGGTCCCTAACTCGCATTCATACTAGTTCTGATATATTTTTGTTTCTTTCTGAAGAAATATTCACCGTTGATGAGATCCTCATGGCTATAGTAGTCATAAGTATGAAATGTTTTCCTCAAAGCTGAGCAGGTGTGTATCAGAAACCCGTGCTCCAGTGAATGTTTCCCCCCTAACCAGACTAGTTAGAGGAGATAATGAGGACTTAGCTACAGACATTCAACCAACACCCTAAACCTGCATATTAGTAGTAATACTCTTTAGAATGCATGTGTGGCATTTGAAAACACTGATGGTGTGGCTCGGGGGATGCAGAGCTTGAATTTTAATGTTTGATTTCATGAAAATACTTAACAGGGAGCGGCAGGCAAAGCTCTGTATTTAAGGATTGGTACCTTTTGGAGAACAGGGTGTGGAGGGGGTACCTGAATTTTACAGGTACCCACTTCCACTGCAATTGCCTAGGTGTTCGAAAGCAGAAATTGTCCACAAGCTGTCACAGCCGGGTGCCAACACTGGAGATGCCGGCGCCATAGACACAGGACATACCTGTGAACCCGGCCGGTGTGAGGGCACTATGGGATTGAGGGACAGGTGAGTTGGCTACAGTTTTTTGTAGCTGCTGACTTTAATTTTTATTTTGACTGGAGTTTAAGTTAAAAAAGCCTAGATTCACACTTTTGCATTTCTGTTTTTATGGGGTTTTTAATGTGCTTTTTGCACATTTCTTTGGACCTCCAAAAACATAAAAGTGGACAAAAAAGCAGAACTGAGACATTTTCAAAATTGCACTGTAGCAGACAGATGTGAACAGCCTCTATCAAAAACATTGCCTTTTACACGTTTTAGCGTGTTCTGACGCAAAATGTGTGTGAACGGGGCCAAATTTATTGTTTCTTGCAGTTCACTTTTCTCCATTTCACAGCCTTTTGTGGTGTTTTTCTCTGTGCTTCATCCTGTTTTTCTATTTTATGTGATTTTTAATTTTTTTATGAATTTTAATCGTTTGAGCCAGAATACTTGTCATTTCACACCAATGTTTATCTTTTGAATACAGGCATAACATTGTGAATGCTTTTGCCAATATAAGCCAGCAATTGAAACCATTGTACCAATATGTGTTTCACAGGCACTTTGTAAATGCTACATATCCAGAAAAGGTGATCTTTTTGGCTTGTACAAATTCAA